GAGCCCTGAAGAGTGGCTCGGGTTTCAGTAGGTGATGGTAATTTTGTGATGAAGAGCATCCCAGAAAGAAGGGCATAAGATGAAAGATATACCGTCATCTCCCAAAACTGTGCCCCTATGATTTCCATGAGACCAGTTGAGAGCTGCCTGAGGAAAAATATATTCAAGTACCAAAAAAAGAATGAAGGGACCCACTGCCCACTAGCTGAGCCTGCGGTACACTGAAATCAGAGAGGTATTGCCTAGCAACGGCATGATTGAGATCAGTTCTACTCTTCACCAAAGAATTAGTTGGCGAACAGAGTTGACACATCAGTGACAAATTCACCTTTATGTTGCTGCACAGGACTGTTGATAATAATTCCTGAGAAAAGAAAGGACTCGAAGGCTTGAGATAGTAAGTGTCGCAGGATTAAAGCAGTTGCCACGTATTAACAGACTGTTGTTTGTGTTGGCAAGATGCTTTCCATATTTTTTGCACAGATAAGATTAAGACACATCGGCGCAGGATTAAAGCTCATTTTGCACAGCTACCTTGCTGACATTTTGGACAAGAATTCTGTGTGGCTTTCCAGATGGGGGTTATTTCCTGGCAGGTGTTCGATCCATCATTTAGGAGGGGAATAAACAGAACAGGCCAAGATATTCCAGATTCCCTTCTCTGTGTGTTTTCCTGGGTCTACATATTTTCTTCTGTTTAGTTTAGCAGACATCCTCAGAGACAGAGGCTGGAGGCAGCCACGGGGGCGTGCCAGAGCTAGTCGAGGGGCAGGCCTGCCTGTGGCTTCTGTGTACTTGCCTCCCTGCACAGCATGAAGAAGGAACGCCTGCATGCGGGGCTGAAGACACACAGAGAGTGTGTGTGTTTTCACCTTCGGTTGTGAATGTGTTACGTGGAGTCTCCCACGGTTACACGTTTGACAGCTGCAGAGGCGTAGCGGGCCTCACCGTTAAGTGTGGGTCTCCGTTCTCTCCTCGAGGAGCCTGAGGGTCTGCCCTTTGGTGTAACTGCACGCTCATCTGAAGCAGATGGTCGCAAGGCTTGCCGGAAGCCTCGGGCCCACCCCACAGTCCATCTCTCACCCTTTAGTTTCGTTTGTACTCTTCCAGAGATGTTTGTCTAGAATGTTTACTGACAGCTGCTTTATTCCTGATGTTACTTCTCAAAAGAAGAGTCTCAGTTTCTTAGCTTCAGGGCCCACCTGAGCGGGAAAGATGGGAGGAAGCAGAATGGGACAGGGACTTCTCCCTTTTGCCCTTGCGGTGCGTGGGTAGTAGCGGGGGTCAGGGACCAGAGTCAGGCCCGCCTGGGTTGGAGACCCAGCCCCACCTTGGACAAGTCGCTCGCCCTCTCTGAGTCTCCGTTCCTGTTCTGTAAACTAAGGACCTACCTCCTAAGGTGGTTGTGAAGTTTCGGGACAGTGATGCGGATAAAGTGCTGAGCACCTAGGTGCCTGGCCCATAAGTACTTTCTGATCAATGACTGCTGGCCTGTGTGAGAGACCATCCCAGGGTTCTGGGAAACCCCATCTGGGAATGTCCTCGCTGTGACTACGCGGCAGAGGCTGGAGAAGTCTAAAGATGGGATCCCAAGACCTCTGTCACCCTGGATGGTGGGGACACACACCTTTCTACCCCGGGGCCACCTCTGGGGTCCAGGCCAGCTCCTTGCTCCCCTTCCCTTGCTTGCAGTAGGGACTTGGCCTCCTTTCCTCACATCCGGGCAGCTGCCGTCACCCACCCTCTCCCTAGGAGTTCCTCCTCCTTAGACTGGCTGCAGGGCAGTACCCCCTCCGTCCCCTTCCTTGCTGGTCTGAAATAGACACAGGAGGCATTTTAAGGGTTTTGCCACCAGTCAGTCTCTGGGCAGAAAAGACACAGATGAAACCCTGGGCGCTTTACCCTGGCCTGCTTGTCGTGGTGGCATCAGGAAGCCCACTGTTTTCATTCTGACAGGTGTGGGGCTTCTTAAAACTCTCCTCATCCTTTGGGCCCTCCTTACCCACTATTTGAGGAGGCAGTTCCCAGGCCCTCTCCCCGGCAAAGACACTGTACACAGATTACAGCGATGCCTTCAGGGTGGGGCTTTTAGAACTTCCCACGCACGCACCCACCCAAGCCATCCGAGGACTTTCCCTTGTCCCAGGGCCCCTGGGCAGTCGTTTCTGCTTTAGTAGAAGGGCCTGCCTCCTTGGCGAACCCTTTGTTACCCAGAGACCTCCACTCCCTGCAGGGAGAATGGTCACAGCCCTTTGGGTCAGGAGGCAGCCTGCACCTTAGGGACCCCCGACTTCTTTGGAGCCATCTTTGGTTCCCTTGCTCAAGATAGGAACTGCCTGAGTGTGATTGGTGCTTACCTGCCAGGAGCGTCTACGCTGGGCCGTGCAGGTGTGAGGGATTGCACTCCGCTCCTCTCGCCCTGGGCTGGGTTGTTTCCTGTCTGTCTTTAAGGGAGTCCAGTGGTGCCACCCTGACCTTCCTCCAGTTCCTCCAGTGCTGCCTCATTCCTCCCCGCTCCTGGTCACCTGGCTAAATGCTGCTCCTTCCACTTAAGTGGCATTTCCTTCAAGAAGCCCTCCCTGATCTGCTCCTTCTCTGCAGCCTCACCGGGTTGGGTGCCCCAGCTCCACGGTCTGAGTGCCTTCTGTGCTTCTCCTGTGTTGTAACGTTCCACTAAGTCTGATGTCAGCTCCTGGCAGGCAGGGGACATGTCTCTCCATGTCACCACCACACCGTAGAAGCCAGCATGGTGCCTGGTGCACAGTGGGCACTCAGTGTGTGGAATCGCTGGAAGTTGTAGTTGACAGGTGACTGTCATGATTGACTCCATGGATGTAGCGTGAGGTGCAACTGGAGGAGTGGTTCCCGGCTCAGCTGGGTGGGCAGAGCACCCTGACAGTCACAGCCACGTCAGCAGTGCCCCTGGGAGCAGGGAGGGGTCCCAGACATCTGGCAGAGGGATGTCACAGGAGCAGAGTTCTGCGACTTCCCACACCTGGGCTTACCTGTCTATGCTTATCACCAGGACTGTGAAGACCAGGTCCGGAACCCAGTCCTGGTCCTTGGGGATCACAGCTGAGCTGCCCCAAGGTTTGCATCCAAAGCAGACAGTTGGGTGGAGGATGGCAGGGTACAGGAGGGAGAGCCCGTGCTGTGGGCCGGGATGTCACCGGGGGGTGTCACCAGGGGCTACTCCTTTCAGCCTGTCCAGGTCTGTCCCCAGCCTCCTCGCCACCACCCACTGCCCCCTGGGGGATCGGGGAAGCGGGGGTTTTCCCTTGCTGGGAGCTGGGATCATTGTTGGGCTCAGGCAGGGAGCCATCTGGGGCACAGGAGCTGAGGAACGGCGTGTGGAGGAGAATGGGGGAGGGGTTCAGACCAAGAGCAGCCACCTTGGACTTGGCATCGGCACCTTGGGAAGCTGAGGTGAGGCCGACTCACCAAGCGTGTCCCAGACGGTAGTGCCTGCGCCACCCAGAGCAGGGCTGTTCTTTGAGGTGACTTGAGGGTTCCGAATCCCACCCCACTTCACACAGCAGTGTTGGCCGCAGTCACCCACAGTTCTCAGGCCTCGTCACGGGTGTTCCTGGAAAGGGGTTGCCTGGTCAGATAACTTCGGGGAACATTTGGTGAAACGGCTTTCTTTACTGTTGGTTTTCTTAACCCTTCTTATGTTGATGAGTCTATTCAATGCTCCAGGTGGGCTGGTTTTTTTTACAGACTAATTTGATCAAGGAGTATTTATTTATTTGGCTGCGTCGGGTCTTAGTTGTGGCATGCGGACTGTTTGCTGTGGTGCGCGGGCTTCTCCCTACTTGGCGCGCGGGCTTAGTTGCTCCACGGCTTGTGGGATCTTAGCTCCCCGACCAGGGATCGAACCCGCGTCCCCTGCATTGGAAGGCAGATTCTTAACCACAGGATCACCGGGGAAGTCCCAGGGAGCACTTCACAGAACCAAAAAACAAAGAAAAAACACCTGGTGGACAGAATCTGGATCAAATAATGTGTATTTGGTTAACGTTTTAATATTTTAGGTCTTTGCGATGGCCTAGGTCTCTCTACAAATCTCTGGTGGTGGTTTTCCCTTCACCTGTGAAAGAAAAGCTGGACTGGGGCTTCAGGCAGGTCCAAGGAGCCTCGTTGCTTCTGTCCCCTGTTTGTTCCCCAAACTTGGGTTTCAGTTGGCTGGATGACGCTGCTTTTTTGGTGACAACCCGAAGCAGTGGTGATGTGGGACAGTTAAAGACAGTCTGCCTGGAAGGGGGCACGTGTGTGTTGCTGCCGTGGAGTCGGGACTAGCTTGCAGTTTACGGACTTTGGGCCCTAAAAGCGGATGAGCAGAAATGAAACACGCGTGGCTCTGATGCTTTGTGTCTTTGGTAGAGAACTGACAGAAGTTCTGTCCCCCCAAACGTGCCCTCCGCGGGGGTCCCTGTGGCCCGCGAGGTGGGCTGCCAGGGCCCAGGCCTCCCTGGCTCCAGCCCATGTGGCCCACGGCGTTCCGCTTGCTCTCTAACTGCTTGTTGAGCACGTGCTATGTGTGAGACTGCGTTTGGCTCTGGAGATAGAGGCAAACACAACAGAGGCCCCACTCTTATGGAGCTTAAGGTCCAGGAGAGGATACTGCAGGGGAGCAAATAAGCAAACAGCATGTGTGTGCGCGCGCGCACACACACACACACACACACACGTAAACAGACACACCCCTTCCCTTTTCATCAGACGTTTTACCCTGAAGTTTTCTGCCCCCGGCTTCCCGTTCCGCATTTTCCGCATTTTTCCCATGATGCCTTGCACAGAACAAGGGCTTCATAAGTATTTATGGGATCACATAGCAGCTGGTGCTACCCACGTGAAGAAGTACAGAAGGGGTTTAGTTCAAACATTTACTGGACGGTTCTTACACTGCACACACCAGGTGACAGGCTGCATGCAGAGCTGTTTCAGATGCTGTGTCTGTGATCTCTCAGCCTCCCTGACAGGTAGCCTTGGTGTAACCCATGCAGGATGTAAGCCAGAGCAGGCTTCAGGAGCCCAGTTCAAACTGGGAGCATCCTAGAGGACGTGGTGTCTCTACCTGAATGTGTGTCTGCCACGGAAGAGAAGGTGCGAATGTCTTGGAGGCAGAGGGACTAAGCCAGGCAGAAGTCCAGAAGCGTGGGACATGCTGGGGGCTCTTCAGTGCCACAGTCACGGTCGGTGCGGGGTGGCCTTTTTGAACGGCCTTCGACCCTAGTCTGGGAGGACGTTGCTGAGTTGAAAGTGTGAGTTTCACACCAGTGGTTCTGGCTGCTCTGTGGAGGCCTCACTTCAGGGGGTGAGGGTAGAGGCGGAGAAAGAAGGGAGGTCTAAACTACAGCAGTGGAGGTGATAAGGGTAGGTCTGCTTTCCAAGCTCAGAGCCCCATGCCCCCCTCTTGCTGGCCTCTGCCCGCAGCCGTGCGACATGCCCCGTTGCAGTGCAGGAGGGTTCCTCCAGCAGATGGGACCTCTCCCAGCTTGCGCCCAGACCCTGCCGTGTGGTCCAGGAGGTGCTGGGCAGGACCTTTGCAGCAGAGGCAGCCTCCTGCTGAAACTAATTCTGTTCCCGTCCTGCCCCGGGGGCCCACAGGCAGCCCCTCCTGGGTGCCTGCACATCAGCCATCACAGTTCCAGCACCAGGAAGCTCTTCCTCTACCACTCAGATGCTTCCTCTCCGTCCCAGTCCTTCCTTACAGCCTGGCAGTCATTTTCTCAGTGCCCCCCTGCCTTACTCATCCCTCCGTCAAATATTTGTTGAATCCCTGCAGGGTGCCGATTACTGTTCTCAGACCCTGGGACGCAAGGGGAGCGAGGCAGAGGCTCCGATCTCATGGAGTTGATCCCTTACTAGGGGAGACAGACTATAATAAACCCACACACACGGTACATCCGGTGGTGATGCCTGCTAGGAAGAGAAAGAGAGCATCTTGGCTTCACTGTGAGGCCAGTCCCAGGTTTCTTCTACAGGGTATGGTGTGTGTTTAATTAAGTCTACAGCGGCTAGGCCTCTTCTCCCGGAGAGGCTGGAGGCTCTTAGAGACAAGGGACAGAAAGAAGTCAAGCTCAGGCCAGCTTAAGCAAAAATCAGCATTTGCTGGCCTCACTGAAGAGTCAGGGTGGGGGTGGGGTTAGCTTTGGGCCTGCTGATCCAGGGCCTCCGGCCGTGTCTCCAGGGTTCAGTTTCCTCCTCCATCCCCAGCTCTGCTTCCTGCTGGATTGGCTCTGCTCCAGGGCCCCTTGTGGTGACACCCAGCTGCTGGCAGCCCCAGCAGAGAAAGAGCGCGCCTTCCCCAGTAGCTCCAACGGTAGTCCTGGACCCAAGTCTCATTCGCTGGCAGCGGCCTGGCCTTATTCATGTGCCACCGTGTCCCCTGGGGCCAGGGCATGCAATATTCTCCTCCTGGGGCCAGGAGCCAGGTTGGGCTCCATCTAAACCACGGAGGTGAGGAAGGCGGGGGGGCCCCTAGGCTGACCAAAATCCCAGCTCCTTCCTGCACGCCCCCGAGCCTTGCGGCTGGCGGGTAGTCGGATACAGAAGTGAGGCTGGAGTCTGGACCCACAGCCCCGGGTGCTAGGCTTATGGCGTAAAGGGCAGCGCCAGACGGTGTCTGGGCTCGCCCATGGTAGACATGGTGTGGAGAAGCTGCAGCTGTCCCCAGAGTCCCTCCAGCTTTCCTTTGCTGTCATTTACTGCCCAGCAGTAAGCACATTCATGCTTTCATTCGATCCCCCGGGTTTGTGGAGCAACTGTGAATCTGTGCTGCGGAGACAGCTGTCTTGGGAAGCGTGGAAGACCCTTCCACGCCTCCACCCTCCTCCCTTGTGGCAGTTCGGTCTCCTAGATGTCATTCACCCCAGTGGTTGCGTGGGCTGTGCCTGGGGAGGACTGGCGTGGTGAATCGGACCCAAGTGCCACAAGGCTTCAGTGAGCACAGCGGAGGGAACGGTCACCGTCGGTGGGCTGTGGCCCCAAAGTGAAGATTGGCGTCTGTCCTACTCCTCTGTGGGGTGGGAATTTTGGGGGTGGGGGGTGGGACAGTGTCCATTTGCCCATCTCGGTCTTGTCCTTTTGCCCCCCCGAACCTTGTCCCCCGCCGCGCCCTGTCTTCTTTACTGTGGGTGATCGCCTTCGCCCCCTTCCCCAAACTCTGTTCTCTCTGTGTTTCCTCCACTCCTTTCACAACCGTCCCAAATCCTTAGCGTCGCCCCCATCCGCCCCTCGGGCTCCCTGTCACCTCCACACCTGCCCCTCTCCCTTCACTCTTCTCCTTGAGGCTTCATTCGGCACAGCTGCCTCTTCTCAGGAGCGTTTCCCTGATGCTCCAGGCCGGACCCTCCGACCGCGTCCCACACAAGCGCTCTCATGGCCCGCAAACTGTGTCCCCTCCCTCATAGTGGTCCTGCCGGGTTAAAGCTGTGTGAGTGCGGGTTCCTGGTTCACCTCGGCTCCCCACAACTGAGGGAGGGGGAAGGGTTGTGCGAGTGCTCCCCAAATTCATGATCCCCCGGCTTCCCATCCACGCCACTCTCCAGGCCTCAAGTGCTGAGGGAGGCCCTGGGCACGCCCGCAGGGCTCACGAGCGCACCCAGAGCCACGCGACGCGCCCCGGCCCCAGGCAGTGAGGCAGGCGCCTCTGGGCCCCCCCACGGGTTAAGGCAGTCCTCGTCCAGAAGCCGCTGACCAGCGGCAGGGCCTTCCTGAGCGGCCACCCGCTTGGGCAAGTGGTCAAGAGTCATGGACTCAGCTGCCTGAGAACGACCGGCGGCATCTCCCTGGTCCAGTGACAACATCCCAAAGGGTTTCTTCCTTCAACAGCAGCTGTGCAAGATGGCCTTTCAGACTTCTCACAACTCCACACTTTTTTTTTTTTAACGGGCGCTCACTTAGAGACCCAGGTGGAATGCAGGGCTGACTTGAGTGGAGTAAGCGCTCCAAAGAGCATGCGTCCCGTGGGCAGAGGTTGCAAATGGGTCACCCCTGGCCTCAGCTGGCCTGCAGATGTGGAAAAATTGAAAACCTAGGGATTTCCCTGGCGGGCCAGTGGTCAAAAATCGACAATTTCATCGCTGGGGCCCGGGTTCAATCCCTGGTCAGGGAACTAAGATCCTGCAAGCCACATGGCGCGACCAAAAAAAAAAAAAAAAAAAAAATTAAAAAACTAAACTAGTCTCCAGTCTTTGAAATTGGGGACCTGCCATCTCTGCGCCTCGTTCCTGCAGCACCACGGTTGGTGGCGCTGAGTAGCAGCCACCCGGGCACCCTGCAGCCTGCCACCCTCCACACCGCACTCCCTCCGTCAGTGACATGGCCTGTTCTGAGTGAGTCTTGAAACCTTTTTATTGGTGTGTACATGCACACAGAAAAGTGCACGTATCCTACCACTGTGTCGAGTTTTTTTCACACTGAACACTTCCCCTCATCCATGTGAAGAAACTGTTTTCTAAGCTATTTGATGATCTTTCGAGTTACTAGTTTTATACCAGGTTTGTTTTTTGTTTTTAACTTATTACAAACGAATGTAGCTTTGTTTACTGTACGAATATAGTGTTGGTGGGAAAAACACCAATTTTTCTTTTTGCAGAAAAGCCTGCCATTGCTCCGCCCGTCTTTGTGTTTCAGAAGGATAAAGGACAAAAGGTAAGGGGCCGGTACGTTCTCCCTTCACGTGGTTACTCTGCCTTGTTTTCTCCCCAAGCTCTCTCTCCCCAGGTCGCATGGCCGAGGAACCTTCTGCCATGGAGAAAAGGCCCGGTGGCTTTAGGTTACCATGGCACGAGGTTAAGATGGGGTGTGTATGGACAGGGCTCAGAGACCCTGCTTTAAAAAAGCAGTGGAAGAATCAGCTTCCTTCTCATTCCTAGTGATTTGCTTTAGAAGTACTGCTGTGCATTAGGAAATCTGGTAGGAGGGGGAGAAGGGGGCCGGGGCCGGGGCAGGGAGGAGGGGAGAGGGCGCAGTGCTGGTTAACGGGAAAACAGGACCTTGAAAGATTTTCGCGGGATTTTTTTGGCCCCAACCAACTTGCCATAAATGCGTTTCGAACAATGAGTAGTCAACTTGCATTATATATTCACCACCCATCTCTGTGAGGTTGCTTCCCCCTTCTTGGGCTTTAAATATCTTGTTTTCCCTGATGTTGGAAGTACCTCGCCTAATTCATCGTGATGAGCTAGCAGCCCGTCAGAGGACTGGTGGGTGCACGCGGCGGTGCCTTCCCACAAAGTCGCGTGTGGTTGCTTATCTTGAAGTCACTGGGGTTGTCTCCCTCCCTGAACAGATCAGCCTGGAAGGTCCGGGTTGTGTCCAGAGATGGTTGATGTTCTGTGGTGATGCCTCCCAAGCTTGTATGAGGACTCCCCCTATTTGTCAAAAAAATGGATGGTCCCTGCCCTCATGCCCGGGACATGACAGCAGGTGTGATGTCATAACCACTGCAAGATTTAAGGGTGACCAATGCGCTGCGTTGATGCAGGTGTTCTGAAATCCGTGTGCGTCTTGTTGATGAGGACAGCATTTGAGGGGCTTCTCGGCTCAGGGCTGTGACGCACAGACCAGGTGCTCGGGTGGATGTCCGGTCCCCCCACAGGGTGGCCGGCTTTGAGTTTGGGGGCTGCTGGCCTGGCGATTTGGGACTCCTGGCGGCCCGGCTGCTGCTTGTAAACCCTGCCCCTTGGCCTGAAAAGAGAGCAGCCCCGGCGTTCAAGGGCTGTGCTCGGGAGGACGCGAGTGCGTGGAGGGGGCGGGAAGGAGAAGCGGCTGCCCTGAGACCCCTACCCACACCCCCCGCGCAGGGTGTCTTCTGTGTCAGCCGGGGCTCATCTGCTAGGCTTGTTCTCAAATTAATCTTTCCCGTTGTTAATTCTTATGCCGAAGAATCTTTTCAGGAAACAAAACAAGGAAATGTTCTTCCCTTTTGGTTTCAGTTTTCCAAGTGGAATTTTCAAGATACATCGACCTCTGCCGTCCCCTCTCCCTTGGGCCCTGACCAGTGCATACGTGTGTTTTTATCATTTGTCCTTTGGAAGTTCAGTCACTGTGAAGGGGCTTGATGTGCTTCTGGCTTTTAGAGGTGGATGTGTTTGGTTTCTGCTTCAGATGTAAAAGTCACTTCTCTTAGGTTTTCCGTAAAATTGGGATTTTCTAGAATTTTGAGTTTTATTATGATTTTCTTTTGAACCACTTTTAGTTTGAAACAGGGGTCAGCCAACTAAGAGGGCTGCCGCCACTGCTGTTTTTATCAATAAAGTTTTATTGGCGCTCGGCCCCGCCTGGCCCGTGCAGAGAGCTGAAGCTGCACCTGTGCTGTCCACAGCAGAGTGAAGGGGTTTGGACTGAGACCAGGTAGCCTGCAAAGTCGAACATATTTAGTATCTGGCCCTTTACAGAAAAAGTTTGCCAACCCAGATTTGAAACAAGTAATTGGAATGAATAATTCTTAAAACCTGAAGACTTTCTGACAGCCAGCAGGGTGAAACGCTAAAACGTAATGTTTATTTGACTGAATTTAAAATGCTTTTAAAATGACTAACTCTTATTTCAGTACTGTTTTCACGGTTGAGGTGGTTCTGTTGCTTCGTAATTCAAAGGCTGACTTACACGTGTCACCTTCAGAAGGTTGATGCCAGTTACGTAAATGGGGTGAGGTTGAACCCGAAGAGTCTCCAGGGAGGTGCTCATCACCGTGAAAATGTGCGCATCAAAATATTGACTCAGTGCCAGCTCTAAATGGGCTTCTAGAAATAACTGACCTCCAGCTCTTCAGAGTTCGCCTGCTGTCACACTTGTGTGACAAGATCATCGGAAGGGCACGGAAAACCTCTGCGTCTAACGGCAGAGGCCGGAGGAGCCTGCATGTCCATCGGGGCCGCCCTCTGAGCTGCCGGGTGGGCGGCTGCCCAGTGGACACGGAGCCCTCCTCCTTTCTCTGCTGCTATGACAGCTCAGGCGTCGGGCGGGAAGGAAGCGGAGAGGCTTGGACAGCTGGCTCCATGGCCGCGTGGCCCCCCGGCCCAGGGGAAGCGACGGGAAGGTAGGTCTGCAAGGAGTGGCCACGACACTTCTCACAAAATGACACCTTGAGACCCTCCCAGCTTCCCCCTCTTGCCGCGATTTCAGCCCTCCCTCCTCGCGCCACAGTAGCAAGAGTTGGGAAGATCTGTTCAGGTGGCCGTTGTTTTCTTCTGAGGGAGCTTTTATTTTCCCTTTTCAGCTTTCTGTTTTTGAAAATTTTTTCAAATCCTCAGTAAAGTTAAAGGAATGGTACTGTGGACCCTTGGGTATCCTTCATCTGGCTTCACCGTTAACATTTTTATCATAAATGCCAGAAACGCTCGACTACAAGTTGCACCCACCTGACAGTTTTCCCCTAAATACTTCAGCACAAGCGTCTCCTAGGAATTCTTCTCCATGGCACCAGTGCCATGGGCACGCCTGAGAAAATGATCATTAATTCAGAAATACCCTCTAATATATAGTCCACATTGAAATTTTCCTAATTGTCGCCTAAGTCTCCCATACAGCTGTTTTTTGAGCCACTTTTTGATCCACAAAGGTCAAGAAGTCCCGTTGTCAGCTGTGGGAGCATTACCTTCTTTCAGTGAATGATCTGTAAACCACCAGTGCCCCAGTGGGATGCACTCCAAGAGCCCACAGCCCCCTTCAAAGGCTTTGAAATCAAAAAGAAAAAAATTAGGCTGCCAGCCCAGGCGTTTTGGTGTTGGTTTGGTGACAAAGACACACAGGATTTTCCGTCAGGCCCATAGACAGTGGGAGTTGCATTCGTAGCAAACCACAGATTGGTGGTGGTGGCCTCCCGGTGGCATCCCTTGGTCTCAGGACGAGTCGTCAAATCCTCCCACTGTTCCGTGTTGGAGCGTCGGGCAGCAGCGGAACTCCAGTCCTGACGCCCGAAACGCAAACCTAGAGCCAGACTGACAGCACAGGAACTGTCTCTACTGCTTTCCCGCTCTTGAGCTTCCTCAAGATGGCGCTCTTCACAAAATGCTTGCGTTTCCACACATTTGTGTTTTAGGGGCAAAAATGAAACCTTTTCTTAACTGCCTTGAATGGAGACAGACAGTTTTTTTCTCTTTAACATGAAGAGAATTTGAATCTCCTTCCGTAGTTTGTTTCACTGTTTGTGACGACTGAATGTTTCTTTCATTTACTTTATTTTCCAAATGTTTGCTAATCTGAAGGCAGAAGATTTGGGGGTTGCACTGGCAGGATAATGTCCATTTAGCAAAAAGGCAGAAAGCAGTTACAACAGCAGTTGGGCAGAAAGCAGGGTGTCACCGACAACACTGGAAGCTTACTGTGTGTGTAACAAGCGTACCCTGTATGCGGGGTTTTTTGTCAGCCACATATATTTTAGGATGATGTCAAAGCCTGCCAAAATCTCGATGTCCGATTTTAACAAACATGTTGAGAAACTACAGGCTCTATCTTGGTTCCTTAGAGCTTACTCAGACCCAAGGAGAAAATGCTGGAATGGCATTTGTATTTCTTTTTGGTCCTCCGACGTAGGCTTCATCTCTAGTCTGCCATGCCACAAGGGCATTTCTACATTTATATTCGAAAAGCAGGGATTTAAAAAAAAAAAAATCCAAGTGGTTCTGAACAGAGGCAATTTCCCCTAGAGCTCTGGGTTTCATTTTCTCTCTAAAATGGTGTTAAATCTCTAGCCATAAAGTAGCAGCAGACGGGTGTGTGGACCAACCTCGGTGCCTTGGACAGGTTTGAGGAACGGCCTGGGAAGGAGGGCCTTTTATGTCTTTGGCTCTCCCCTGCATAGGAAGAGTCGATTTGGGTGGCTTTTTTAGATGTATGGATGAGTTGTGTCGCTTTTGCTTTTTCCTAAGAAAGTTTGAAAGTTCTCTTAAAACCCTCTATGTAGTTCCTTTCATCTAGCAGGCTCACACATTTAAAAATAGTCCCAAGTCCTATCTAAAGAGGTTTCACTCACTTCACAGGCAGGAAGAACACAGCCGTGTCTGCAGGGAGGCAGGGTGGCCCCGTGGTCATTTAGTTCACAAAGCGAGAGAAACGTGTGGTGGACGATGCCAGGCGGGAGGCTTGGGGACCGGAGCCCATGTATTTATTCCAGGACACCAGCTCTGTAACGCACCTCTTGGCCACAGAGCCCTCGGCCCATGGAAGCCCCTTCAGAATCCCAAGAACCACCTCAAAGGATGCCGGGGGTGGGGGGTGGTCTGTGCTTTTGAGGACGGAGACTTCGGGGACCGGCTTCCCCTTTCCCTGGCTGTTTTCTAGATAAGCCCTGGCTCGGGATGTGCGGGGGGAGCCTGGGAGAATTCTAGGCTGAGGGGCTCCCTCCTTCAGCCGGAGCCCCACCCACCTGTCCGCTGTTACAAAACCAGCTCTCTGTGTCTGCCAGGTCGCGGGGTCACCCCACACCTGCGCGCGCTCGCCGAGCAAGAAAGCCTTGCCTTCCTCTGGGGTTTAAGCGGCAGAGATGGGAAGGTGCTGGCAGGGCCGCAGCCAGTGCAGAAGCCCTGGCCCCGCTGCCCTGGCTCTCCCAGTGGCCAGACAGGGTGCTGGCGCCCACCTCCCCTCACGAGTATGTTTGAGTGGATGGGTTACTAAGCCCTGGGGACAGTTTGACACAATTGCCCCTGTTCCCCTCTGCTAGAGGCACCACCCCCGTCTTGGTCCCAGGGGTGTTTCCTCAGTCGCTGCCATCGGCAGAAGGTCTCTGTGCCACAGGGGCCACCTTGCAGTTTTCAGAAGGAGGGTCCAACTTCTTGCACACCTCAGAGCTCCCTGCCAGGTCCGACAGCAGCAGGTCCGCGCTCACTGCCCTTCTGTCAGTGTGGAGGGCTGGCTCTGTGGAGCGGAACGCGGTAGCATGTGCCGGCTCTCTTGGCCTGACCTCCCGGGCAGGAGCTGCTGAAGGCCAAGCATCTCCAGACCTTCCCCTGCCCCCCCTCCCCTGCCCCGCGTTGCTGGCTTTATTTACATTGAAGGAAAATTGTCTTTTTTGCTCCCAGTCCTCTGCAGAGCAAAAAGACTTGTCGGATTCGGGAGAGGAGCCTCGGGGGGAGGCTGAGGCCCCCCACCATGGCACGGGTCACCCCGAGTCAGCTGGTGAGCATGCCCTAGAGCTTCCTGCCCCTGCTAGCGCTTCAGCCAGCGCTCCTGAAGCCCAGCTTCTTCCTTTTCCACGAGAACTGGCAGGGGTAAGTCCACCTCCACCCGGCATCCCACGGCCCGGGGCTCCCAACCCAGACTGGCCCCTTTCCCTCCGGGCCCCTTAGATCCACACCCCAGGTTGTCAGCAGCTGATGATAACTGAAAAGACGACAAAGGCCCTCTTCAGCTCCCTTTAA